TAGTTTCCTTTTTTAAAGCAGCCGAGGTTTCATAACTGTTACTTCTAGTCAGTGAATGAAAGCTGAATGCCAAGTTGTTGAGGAAGTCTTCCCTCCCTCCCTTCTCTCCAGAGAGGGCTGACAATAAGAGTTCCACCTAGACAGCTCTTTAAATGTCCTTCCTGGTACTCTGCCTGTGATCCTTTTCTCAGTTCCATTTGTTTGTTATAGAAGTCATTGATTGCTTTATGGGTATACAATTTTTCATTTATGTTTGCTACTCCATAGATTTCCTTTAAAATCACATATTAGCCTATGAGACTGTCTTAGTTTCTATTTCAGTGACAAAACTCTATGACTAAAAGCAACTTGGAGATGAAAGTTTATTTCATTTTACAACTTTCAGGTCACTAAGAGAAGCCAGGGAAGGAGGCAGAAACTGAAGCAGAAGCCTTGGAGAAACACTGCTTGTTGGATTGATTTCCCCCTGGCTTGCTCAAGTTAACTTTCTTTTTATACCCTCAGGACCACCTGCCCAGGGTTGGTATCACCCAAAATGGGCTAGGCACCTCCACATCAATCACTAATCGGGAAATACCCCCACAGACTTGCACAAAGGCCAATATGGATATAGGAGTTTTCTCAATCGAGTTTCTTCTTGAGTAACTATAGCTTGAATAAGTTGAGAAAAAAACCTAACCAGGACAGAAGATCTAGTGCTAATATTACACTTTTATCACCAAACCTACCCAAAAGTCTAGGGTACAGGAAATCTCTGACTCAGAGCTGATTATTTTATTATAGCAATACAATAGCCAGAGTATTAGTATTTTCTGTATCATTCTTTAAGCCCAGTTCTCATGATACAGTGCAGAGGATCAGATGCAGAGGACAGATAGTATTCCTACTATCTGTCACAGTAAAGGAGAAGACCCTGGGCTTAAGACATCTGTGTGTGTGTGTGTGTGTGTGTGCGCGCGCGCGTGCGCACGCGCGTGCGCACATATATGCATTTGTATGCGTATGTACATACATACATGATGCACACACTTAACACACAAATGCATAGATGCTCTTTTCTTCTTTATACTATTCTGACTTTTGAGGCAACCTTGAAAAGTTAGTCTAAAAAAAATGGTTGTTTTACTTGAAAATAGTAAACTGAGTGAAATGGCCACATCTGAATAAGAAACCAGGAACTGAGTTTATTTAATAACTGGTTATTCAGAAATAAGATATTTAGGTAAAGTATTTTCCATACATTATAATGAGAAAATTATGAGTGGCTTTATACACTGTTTACATTGTATTTACAGCCAAACATTAAATGTAGCCCTGCTTGTATTGGAATTCACTTTGCAGACCAGGCTGGCCAGGAATTTACAGAGATCCGCCTGCCTCTGCCTCCCAAGTGCTGGGATTAAAGGCCTGTGTAAGTATTGGCTATCCAAAATGGCACTTTGTGTTTATTTTCTTCAGAGCGATCAGTCTGCCTCTTCTCTTCCTTCCCTCCTTTACAATTCTAGTGGATATCCTAGTTTGCTTTCTGTTGTTGTGATAAACACTGACCAAACCTAGTTTTAGACCAAACTGGCTTTGAACTCACAGAGATCCTCCTACCTCTGCTGTCTCCTAAGTGCTGGGATTAAAGGTGTGCGCCACCACACTTGGTGAAGCTGGACAATTTCAGTGGTGCAAGAAAAAGACATGAATTTGGTGAATAAATGGTTATTTGTATAATGCATTTTGGGGGTTTGAGACAGGTTCAAGTTTACCTCAAACTGCCTGTGTGGTTGAGGATGACCTTGAACTCCAAATCCTTTTGACTAAGTGTAAGATTATAGGCTTGCACTATACTTCTCTAGCCTATTCTTGAAGCCATGAGTGATTATAGAAAATTAAATAGGGTAGAACATTTAAAAAGTGTTTCTACTTATCTTCCACTAATCCAAAATAGTCTTCATTACTAGTGGTATCCTAGATTTTTTTCCCCGGTGAATACACAAATAAAAAGAATGGTTGGATAGTTGAAAATTATTTTGTTAAGTGGGTGTGAAATAGATTTTGATTTTCAAATAAAAATTTCAGCCCCACCTAACCTTTCTTCTGCCTTGCTATTGGCTGTTCAGCTCTGTATTAGAAAAATGAGGTGCTTTAAACAGGCAAAGTAACACTTCACTGAGTTAACATACAATAATGCAATACATGTTTGCATCATTAAAATAAATGTTCCACAGCATAAACAAAAGTAACACACCTTATAATTATATTCTACAACATATATTGGAAGAATATAGTCAATTAGGGGCTGGAGAGATGGCTCAGAGGTTAAGAACACTGGCTCTTCTACTAAAGGTCCTGAGTTCAATTCCCAGCAACCACATGATGGCTCACACCATCTGTAATGAGATCTAGTGTCCTCTTCTGACCTGCAGGCATACATGCAGGCAGGAAACTAAATATAATAAACAAATAGTCTTTAAAAAAAAGAATATAGTAAATTAATATAGAAATGACTTAACATGGCCCTGCTTCCCCCCCCCCCCCCCAAAAAAAAAGCCACACAAAGAACCTCTTTATACAGAAAATTGCAGTATAGTTCATCTAGGCCAGAATTATTTGTACCTTATAAGTTAATGTAATCAAACACATTTTAGTATCCATACATAACAATTCCTAATTTCGCTGTTGTGCTTTCTTTGGCTTGTGATTTGGTTGTATTATTCTTGCCTTTTTCTTAGTTATTTACTGTTCCTTGATAAAGTACGCCAAACTTTTATTCATGTCATGTCAGCTGGGTTTATTCTTGGGCCTGTAGAAACTGCTGGCTGATTTGATGCTTGTTATTGGTTTTCAAGGTACCTCAGTTCTTTCACGTATCTTACTATTCACGTGACCTTTCTAGCTGCTTTCTGCAAGACCATCAAGTGTGTTATTTTTAATATTTACTTATTTTTTCTGTAAATTAATATTTTCCTTGCATGTGTGTCTGTGTGAGGGTGTTGGTAACCCTGGAACTGGTGTTACAGACAGCCGTGAACTGCCATGTGGGTCCTGGAAATTGAACCTGGGTACTCAGGAAGAGCAACTCTGACCCATTTCTTTCTTCCTGTACCAAGCATTTTTTTTAATGATTTATTTATTAGCAGGGCAGTGGTGGCACACACCTTTAATCCCAGCACTCGGGAGGCAGAGGCAGGCGGATGGTGAGTTCGAGGCCATCCTGGTTTACAAAAGCTAGTTCTAGGACAGGCTCTAAAACTACAGCAAAACCGTGTCTCGAAAAACCAAACCAAACCAAAACAAAACAAAACAAAATTATTATATATACAGTGTTTTACCTGCATGCATGCCTGAAGGCCAGAAGATAGTATCAGATCTCATTACAGAAGGTTGTGAACTGAGGACCTCAGGAAGAACATTAATCCCTGAGCCATTTCTCCAGCCTTGGGGCAATGTAGATTACTTCAGTAGTAGAGGTGGAAGCTATGCAAAGCTTCTTAAAGTTCCTTTTTCCTAGATTTAAATACCACATCCTGTCTATTGCAGTGAGTCACAAGGCTAACTCGGGGTTGGAGGAGAGAATACTTTTTTGTTGTAATAAGAGCGGCGGTGCTCTGTTGTAAGGAGCGGTGGGTTGTGTTCCTGCCGCCCCAGCTCCCGCACGTCTAGCTCTATCCAAAATAATTACGCGGAAACTGTATTCTTTTAATCACTGCTTGGCCCATTAGTTTTAACCTCTTATTGGCTAGCTCTTACATATTGATCTAACCCATTTCTAATATTCTGTGTAGCTCACAAGGTGGCTTACCAGGGAAGATCTTAAACTGCGGCTGTGTCGGGTGGGAGAATCATGGCGACTCTGTGACTCGGCTTCTTTCTCCCAGCATTCTGTTCTGTCTACTCCGACTACCTAATTTTCTGTCCTATCAGGCCAAACAGTTTTCTTTATTAGTTAACCAATGAAAGCAACAGATAAGATACAAGACCCACCTCCATCACTTTTTGATAGAACAATGGTGTTCAATTGCCAAAAATGGAAGTATCACTGTTTTGGAGTAATCAATTAAAAGAAGTATAAAAAAGTTTCTTCTAAAATTTGAATGAAAGGTTTTATTCTGTTTACATTTTTTTGTTTCACTGTATTTATACTACAGCCAGAAACAGTAGTTGTTTTTAGAATGTTGTATTAAGAACTGTATCCTTAATTTTTATGTGTTTTGTTCTGCTCGAATATAATAATGCTTTTTAGGACAGGGAAAGGAAACTTATTCTTCCTGCCTTGAACAAGTAATGTGGTTTAATGGGTTAAGTTTTTATGCATTGTGGGAAATAGATAGATTCAATTAACTGAATAGAGAACATTTTCGTAGAAAACCTTTGATAGTAAACAAAGTTGGGATCTTATTATGTAATTTCTTATTTAACCACGTTTTTTTTTTTTTGTATTGAGGTGTGGATTGTTCTAGTGCTTCAGTTATATTAGTATAACCTTGCCTTGCCCTCCCCCTTTGTTGTTTTTGTTTTGCTTTTGGTTGTTATTAGAAACTGAGGAAACAATTTCTTTGCTCGAGTTCCTTTGTCCTAATGTCTAGTTACTGGACGTTCAGTCCATGGAGGTGCTCATAAAGAGTCACAGCATTGAGGTGGTTCAGGTAGGGTATTTCTCATTTTAGGTCTTACACAGGAGCCACTTCTTTTCAAAACAATGAAAGCCCAAAGAATTAATTATGTGTGTGTGCTATGTGAAGTGTCCTGTAGATCTTAAAGTACTATTTATAAAAACTATATTTTTAGGAAGGAAAAAAATCTATTTTTGCTAGATATAAATATAGCAAATAGAGACAGCCTTTAGTTATTCATTGCTATTACTTAGGTTGGACAAAGATAAGGAAGGGCCATTTTAAAATAATTTTTATACATAATTGAAAAAATGGGTGATTTTTTTTTAACAAAGGTTATAAAAGAATATTACATATATATGAATTATTAATTTTAAAACATCTTTTGTTTATTTTTAGAAATACAAAGAAAAGGACAAACACAAACAGAAACACAAGAAGCAACCAGAACCATCACCTGCCTTGGTTCCTTCGTTGACTGTTACTACAGAAAAAGTAAGATTGAAGTATCAAATTTTGTTTTTTTAAAATATTTATTTATTATGTATACAGTGTTCTGTTTGTATGTGTGCCTGCAGGCCAGAAGAGGGCACCAGATCTCATTACAGATGTCTGAGCCACCATGTGGTTGTTGGGAATTGAACTCAGGACCTTTGGAAGAGCAGGCAATGCTTTTAACCTTTGAGCCATCTCTCCAGCCCTCAAATTTTGTTTTATGTAATTAATGAAATACTGGTTTTTAACTTCCAAGGAGTCTCTTGATTCCCAGTGCTCTGGTTACAATTTTGCCCACCTTTCTAGCCATGTATGCACTTAGAACTATCGCCTTTTTAGTCCTTTATGCTGTTTTCTGTTTATTCTGTTCTTGTCTTCAAGGACCATGTATAGATAATAAGTGAATGACACCGTCTAAATTAAGAAATAGGGTTTAATTCAGACTTTAGCTACCTGTGACTTAGAAATCTGGCTTCACCATTTAGTAATTGAACCTTAGGTTGATTTACCTCTCTGCAACACTATTTCAATACCTGTAAAATAGGGGAAATAATAATTGAAATTGATTAAGATAAAATATTTAATATTACTAATGTTAAATATTATTAAAAACATTAAAAGAACACATACATCTGGTTCATATTAATTGTTAGGCATCACTCAGATTATCATAAGATGATTTGAAAACAGCCTAGAAATGGGAACATTTGACTGGGAAAGAGGGATGATTGAGGAAGTGCATTTGGAGATGAGGCCAATATAAGGGTCTTTGCACAAAGGTCTAGCTACATAGGCCTCGTGTAAAACCTTGCCTTGGTGTTAGTGAAAATGGAGCTATTAGGCAGAACTGAAATTAAATATGGTTTGTAACTTGAGTTTTATAAGGTGTTTCAGTTGCTTTGGTGAAGAGATGGGGAGGAGAGAAGGTAGGAAGACTAGACGCCAGAGAGGCTATAAGGAGGTTCTTAAAATAGCCTGCCACTGACCGTGGTACTAAAACTGGAGATACAGGGGTGCTCAAATTTTGGGTACATTCAAACACGAACCCCTTCTGATTTTCTAAAAGATACGCATGAGGCTTTAGAAGAAAGAATTGTCATGTATACAGGTTTTGGTATCAGAACATGTTACCACAGTTCAGCATTTTAAAATAAAATAAAAATTTATCATGTCTCTGGTTCTGTTTGCAAGATAGTCTGGATACATTGTACTAGTATATCATAGGTAAAGGCTAAAATCAGAGTGTCAGATCGCCTCTCAGTGGGATGAATCTTCTAAACTCAGGTTGTGGTTGTAGGATTTTGAGGCTCCATTTCTGTGTCAGCCACCCCCTTTCCAGGCAGCCCACTTTTCTTCCCTAGGTCCCTCTCCCTGGTCAGCTCCTTCATCCCAGAGCAGGGAGCATCATGTTTAGTGTTTTTCTAACTTTACTTCTGCTGTGTCTTCTGCCTTTAATTAATTTGCAGTCCTTTATATTCAGAACCAGATTGTCTTATTTTTATGGTAGAACAGGAGGGTGAAAGAGGAAAAAGCCTTTGATTTTGGTACCTGGAGATTTAGTTTTTGTGTCATTGTTTTTCTAAAAAGTTCATAGAAGCATGTAAGCATCAATTTATTTCTGTTTTTAAATTTGTGACAAATTGAGCCTAATCGTTAAAAAAAGTAATCTTAATAGATCCGTTACTTTTTATAATTAGTAGGGGACATAGTAGTTTTCTTACCATCATTGCCAATCACTTAAGGGTTTTAATTTTGCGTCCCCAGTGGTTTCCACATGCAAGAAGATTTTCTGTGGTTAGTGAGATTTCCTTCTTGTAGTATTTATAGGAGAGGATAAAGACCACCCTCCCTCCCTTGCTATTTCCTTCTTTCTTTCCTGTTTTGTATTGAAGTTAGAATACCAGGCCTCATTACTGCTAGGCAAGTGGTTTCCTACTGAGCTGTACCCCAGCACCAGCCCTGTAAGACTTGTTTGCTTTCAAGATGGGGTTTCTCTGAGTGACAGCCCTGGCTGTCCTGGAAATGCACTTTGTGGGCCAGGCTGGCCTCTGCCTCCCGAGTGCTGGGATTAAAGGCGTGTATCACCACCTTCTGCCAAGACTTTTTGAATTGCTTTCCTATGTTTCATTTTTATACTTAAAAATTTTAAAGATTAATATTTTAAGAAATCTTACAGACTTGTTATAATGAAGTCAAAGTACAAATTTATAAAAGTCACTTTCTTTTTGTTCTTTCCCTGCACTATCTACCAAGACAGTTATATTTGAAGGTTAAGCTTTTCTTTTGTTTGTTTTTTGTTTGTTTTCACACAGGTTTCTCTATGTACCCCTGGGTGTTCTGTAGACCAGGCTGACCTCTCTACCTCAGAGATCCACCTGCCTCTCTTTCCCCAGTGCTGGGATTAAAGGCATGTGCCACCATTACCTGGCTACTTTTTAAAGTAATCTTAATTTGGAGAAAATATAAATGCTTATTTTATAATAAAGTTCAGTATACCAGATACATTGGTTATTTTGTTACTTTTAATTTAGTTATAATCGTTATGTAATAAGTTACACATATTTTAAGTAAAACAATATTAAAATTATAAAGAGGATGATAAGGAGGAAGCAGGTCTCAGTGTCTTGATTTGCCTGGCTAGAAATTGCACAGAATGCCACCTACCTCTGTCTCCGGAGTGAGTGCTGGGGTTAAAAGTGTGCAACGACACAACAAAAAAAAATGCATTTTTGATAAATTTTCAAGTACATGTATTAATAAAAACTACCACCATGGTTTTAGGCAAAAAATGTGTTTTACAATTATCTTCTGTGTCTCCCATTCCCATCTCTCCTTAGGTAATTCTGCTTTTTGTAGCTTTAAATTAGCTTGAATTCTTTAGAAAGTTTAAAAGGAGAAACATACAGTGTGACCCTTTTTAAATTTTAGTTTGGATTATTTCATTCTGCATAAGATTTGAACTGTGTTATGTGTATCAATAGTTGAATCATTTCTGTCATTGTCTGCTTTCTTGTTTTATGGCTAGAATAGCTTGCTTATTGATTCAGTAGTTGGTGAATATCTAGGTTTCTGGTTTGGGGCTATTACAAATAAAGCTGCTATGAGCATATTGCAAGCCTTATATAGATGTATGCTTTTTATCTTTTTGACTTTTGTGTAGCACAAATAATTAAAACCTAGAGACAGATATTGGGAAAAACAGAGTAGCCAACCACTCGAGAGACCTTTTACCTCTCTCTACCAATGCTCAGACCTAAGGGATGATCTTCACATTGCCAAACCTCAGACTGGACACTCCACTGAGCTCCTCTCCCTTATATTCTTCTCTCTGCCCAGCCACATTGCTTCTCTGTCCACCTCCCTATTGTTGGGGTTAAAGGCACGTGATCCCCAGTGCTGGGTTCACCTTTGTATGAGCTCTGTTTTCCTTTTAGACAGACAGTTTTAATCTTCTGTAGCCCAGGGATTGAACTCACAATCCACCTGCCTCAGCCTCCCAAGTGCTGGGATTAAAGGCATATGCCACAACTGCCCGGCTTTGTTCTCTTTATTTTTAATTTTAACTGCTGCTTTACTTGGGATTAGTGTTGGCATATCTTTATTCATCCATTTCCTTCATACTCTGTGTGTCTATACTTAATGTCTTAGTTACTTTTCTGTTGTGATAACAACATTGACAAAGGCAACTCAAGAAAAGTAGCTTATTCTGTCTAATGGTTCCAGGATAAAGTCCATCCTGGCAGAGAAATCCCAGCTCTAGGAGCCTGTCTGAGCCGTGGCGAGTTAGTCACACGGCACTTGCAGAGGGAAATGGCTGTCTGTGCTAAGCTCTTCCACTTTTTTGGTTTTTGAGTCAGGGTATCTCGGTGTAGCTTTAGAGACTGTCCTGGAACTCACTCTGTAGACCAGGTTGGCCTCAAACTCAAGATATCCACCTGCCTCTGCCTCCTGAGTGCTGAGATTAAAGCTGTGCACCACCACCGCCACTGGGGTACTCTTCTACTTGAGTCCATGATCCTAGCCCAAGGACTGTGGCTGCTTGCAATGATGAAGCCTTCCTACCCCCAATTAACCTGGCCAAGATAACCTCCCTTGAATAAGCCAGGTGGTCCTAGATGTCATCATGTGACAGTTTAGATTAACCATTGAAAGTAGGTTTCTTCTAGGCCACACATGGTTTTTGAACTTTGATCTACTCTGACAATCTTTCTGTGATTAAACCATGTTTAGGACACTTAATTTATATACTATGGCTACTAGGGACCTTAATTGTTACTCTTTACTATTTGTTGATTTTGTTTTTTCTTTATCATTACAGCCTTTTGTGATTTTTTTTTTTTTGTATTCTGTTCTCCTTTTTTTTTGTTCTCCCTTCCCCTTCCTCTCTTTTTGTTTCTGGCCTTTATCTTGCTTATAATGGTCTATTCTATTGAGGCACTGTTTGAGGATCTTCTGTGTGGCTCTAGGTGGACTCGACTCAGTGTTCTTGTGTATTGGTTTCCAGAATGCTAAAATTGGGTGTAGGTTACCATACCTTTTATTGAACATCAAACCACACACACACTTTTAATTACTGGCTCAATGATTTTGATATTCTTGTTGTATCTGATGCTGTTTTTGATGCTCTTAGTTTTTTTTTTTTCTTTTTTTTTTTTCGAGACAGGGTTTCTCTGTGGTTTTGGAGCCTGTCCTGGAACTAGCTCTTGTAGACCAGGCTGGTCTCGAACTCACAGAGATCCGCCTGCCTCTGCCTCCCGAGTGCTGGGATTACAGGCATGCGCCATTAATTTTAATTTTTTATTAATATTTATTGAGCTCTACATTTTTCTCTGCTCCCCTCTCTGGCACTCCCCTCCCCCCTTTAGCCCTCCCCTAGGTCGCCATGCTCCCAATTTACTCAGGAGATCTTGTCTTTTTCTACTTTCTACTTCCCATGTAGATTAGATTTATGCAAGTCTCTCTTAGTGTCCTCATTATTGTCTAAGTTCTCTGGGATCTTT